TCAGAAACAAATAGAACAGGGCTCCTCCATACCTACTTCTGAACAACAAAGAAGCCCCAGAAAAATACAACAGGAAAGAAAGGGATACAGAAGAAACATAACTCCCACCCTGCTGGATGTCAGACGGCTGAGCTTGTATCCCCTGAAATCGAAGAATGAATTCCAAGGAACAGCAGAGGTTATGAGTAGGAAAGATTTATTGAGAGAGATAGCTCCTGAGAGACAGGAGGGGACCCAAAAGTGGGCTGTCACCAAGGCCCTTTGTCAGGGGTCATTTATACATCAAAGTTACAACGTGGGTACAGTGTGGGTCAAACTACCATCAACTTATAGGCTTATAAGTATAGCTGCTTGGCTAATACTGATCCGAGAGGGAAGTGAACTACACAGCAGGGGGACATGCAAAGAACAAAGGCATTTTTGGGAAGGGATGGGTCTGGATGCTCTGGACAAATGATGCCTATCTGGACTTTCACTGGACCAGGTGAAACGATCTACAGTATAATTCCTGCTTTATCCCTTAGGGGACACGCAGGCCTGGCCACTGCATTTTAATCTCAAGGCCTAGTCTTCTTCAGGTACACCTCCAGCCACATTTCTGATGTCTCCATTTCTTAATGACTTCCTTGAGAGCCCAGTCCCTCTCTGACTGTATATTAATTCTTACCTAGCTCAACTGCCTGTAACGAAAGGCCTGGAGATCAGTAACACACAGCAGCAAAGTGGTCAAGCTGTTACAGCGGGAACGGAGGGCAAGACCAGCTGGGAATCATCTGCATGCAATGCCGTGATGCCTAGGTGTTTGACTAAGGACAGGAAATAGGATGGAGAGTTTCCAGCATGCACGTCACAATCCAACACGTACTTGAGAATGCCAACTTGGCATCAAGGTGAAGAAAGGAAAGACTCTATAAAAGCTCAAAGGCAAGTCCAAGAGACTCCAGAAAAAAAACCTACAGCTGTAATCTGTACTTGGCTTCCTAGTGCACGGGGAGGGAGTCCAGCAGAGGATGTACAGAGTGAATCTAACATTTCCAATCCTACACAAAGCACATGCTGGTGCCCTAAGACAGAGAACGCAAGGATCCCAAACACTTAGGTGCCAAGCAGAGAGAAAGCGAAAGTCACTGCGCTGAACTGCCATCCCCTTAACGGTGCACTAGCAAGGTGGCCTAAGGAGTCTGAAGTGAGTATCCAGGCTGGCTTTCGTCATCACACTCGTCTCCCAGAACGTGTGTTTCCCTATCATATCTGAGCATTGCTTGTGCCCTGAGCAGCCGTGGCCGAGCTGCTGTTTAGGTATGTGCTACTCAGTCTGGAGTTCCTTGCTCTGTTGGTGCTGGCTCCCAGTGGCAGTTAACTTCCGGGAGTGCAATGTTTCATTTCCAAATTACCTGTAGACTGACAGTTCCCTTGAAGCCACATACACGCTACCGTGTCTATCACCTAAGATGGTTTCTGTGGGTCTAAACGCACACTTTTCTTGCACTATCTGGCCTCTTCTGTCTCTTCATAGTCTTCCTCATCTCTGAGATATTTAATAAGGAATAAAATCCGTCAAGAATTCAGACAGTGATGTAGAAGTAAAAGGTGGAGGCTTGCAGACAGCTGCCGGGAAGCTCAGGATCCCCTCCCCAGGCTCATCAGCTTCAAGGCTTTTCTTCCCCTTGATAAGAGAATCTCACTCTCCCCCACCCCCGAGGCAGGAAGAATTCCTGTCCTCTCAGCCTCAAGCCAATATTCTCACATTCTGTTTTTAAATTTTTTTTCAACAAATCATTCCTTAGGTAGCTTTAAAATTTAAACAGTAACTATCAAACTTTCAATAGCAAAGCACACTCATGAGTAAAATAAAATCTCCTGGATGTCTGGGTAGACTGACCTAAAAACAAACAAAAAAAAACTATCTTTGAGATTTGTATCACAAAAAAAATTCATTCAAAGCTTGCATTTTACTATTTTATGAACCTGTCTAAATATTAAAATGCTTTAATTTAGTCACCACTTAAATGATCTTGTCAAGGGGCCGGATCTAGCTCAGTGGTGCCACCTCCTGCCTTGCAGGCACAATGTCCCGAGTTCAATCCCCAATAACCCACCGAAAAAAAAATGATCTTGTTAAAACGCTTCCAGAAACATTGGTGTTACTTGAATCCTCTGCCTACCTAACACCATTTCAAACTGGAGTTTAAACTCTTGATGTAAAAGATGATACATAAGAAAGTGTATCACACAAGGGTACACATAAATGTCTCAAAGTATATAAAAACAAAAGCAAAGAAACCAAGGATTCAGAATAACCATCTCCTCGACGAGAAGACCAGGGATTGACACTAGTGTGTCTAAGACACTCTGCGAGCACACTGCCTTCGATGGCCACTGCATGGGTGCCTGCTACTAAAACACCAAAAAATATTAAAATTAAAATTAAATAACTATGAATAAAAGTCTATGCATACACCAATGTAAAGAGTTTACAAAGTAATAAGGACTACACTATGAGGAATCCAATGAGGGAAGAAAACAATTTTTCAAGGGGCTCAATTCTGGAAGCATGGACTTACAGTATGACCTTCCTTTTATTCCTAACCTCCAGGTACATTTACACTTTGAATAACAAGAAAGAAATAAAGATGGATGGATAGATGACAGATACTTTCTGGGTACTCTGCTCCTACTGCCCTAAATGGGAAAGATTAATGAACCGCCCCAGCACTTCTGCAAGACCACCGGCAATCCGGCCCCATGCTCGCAGCACGTCAGGGTCACTCTGGGTCAGTTCTGTGTGACGTAATCGTGCCATACGAATGAGCAGCAGTAAAAGTGAGTGGGGAAGTGGCCCCAAGGAGCCCACAGCTTGTGTAGGCAGATACACAACAGAGTCCAATCAGAGGAATGTGCAAAACTGTGTGAGAAGCCTCCACAGAACACATGGATTGAAATAGCACTTTGATGGGGAGAGAGTTGGTAGGAAGGGCATTATGCAGAGTACAGAGGCCTAAAATAGCGCAGGAACCTGCTCAGAGGGTCACAGCAAGCTGTATACAGGCAGAGCACAGGACACAGGAATGCGCCAGCAGGCAAAACAATGCCGGCAGTGCCTAAAATACCAAGCTGACAGCTCTGGAGTTAAGCCTGCGGGAAAACTCACCATTCCTTTTGAAAACGTGACATTCTGCAGAACTATGGAAACATCTTCTAGAATTCTTTACTGTTTTGTGCCATGGGTCTTTTTGGCAAACTGCTGAACCTACTGATCTGTTCTCAGAACATTTTTATAGCCGTAAAATAAAAAGGATTGTGAATAATTTCTGTCACAAGGCAGCGGTGCCTCACTGTGACTGAGGCCTGCACGACAAGGACTCCTCTGATGGGGTGTTCAGGGCATGCTACCCCAAAGCACGGCACGCTGCCCTTGAGAAGGCAGCAGACAGGAAGCACGCACCTCCCTCTCGCCCACCTCCCCAGCTCATCACAGTGGGTTTGCTTGTGGCCTCCTACCATCCCTCGGAAGGCCAAAGGACAGACAGTAACAGGTCTGTCACAGGCCTGTCACACCCCTTGGTTTAAGACCATTTAAGACCAGGCGCTCACACCGAGGCATGGCCCTAGCTCCCCACCTTTCCAGCACACACTAAAAGACGCAAGTGTCTGTGTCTGTAGGTCCTTATGAAGACTCTCATGTCTGTGAAAAACAAATGCTTTTCTCTATTTAATCAATTTTTTGTCTGTTGTTACTCTCTTAGGGGCCTCAGCCATGAACCTGGCAACAGGCAAGAAAAATAAATCTTCCCTTCCCCGTATCCCAGAGGGCACAGCACGGAGCAGGAGATGGGAAGGTGAAGAGGGCAGGGAGACCCGGCACACGCCGCGGCCGGTCCACAGCGAAAGCCACGCTGCCTCCACGGGGACAGCGAGATGGAAACGGCCCCACGCCTCTCCCGCCTGCATCTCAGGCCAGCAAGAGACACAGCTGGGGTCCTCCCCAGAACAGCTGCCAACACTTCAGAACATCCACTGCAACAGGACGGTCTGGGGCGCCAAACACGGTGTCTCGGACAGGACCCTGTTAGAGGAAAGGCCTCGGGGAGCAAGGAAGCCGGCTTCGGGGCAGGCGTCCGTTAAAATGCACAGCAACACTGGCACGATGGTCGGGACAGACGGACCACACAAATGGAGAGTATCAGCAGCAGGAGAAGCCGGTGGTGGAACACGCAGGGACACCCTGTACTTGCTTTGCAATAATTCTGTAAATTTAAAACCATTCTAAAATAAAACTTAAAACAAAATAAAATACATAAGAAAGGAAACATTATATCAAAACTATTTTTTTTTAATCTGTGATATAGAAATCTATGTCTTTATTTTTTGTTTGTTTGTTTGTTTTTGAGACAAGGTCTCACTGTGTAGTTCAGACTGCTCTGGAACTCACTGTGCAGCCCAGGCTGGTCTCAAACTCACAGTGATCCTCCTGCCTCAGCCTCCCGAGTGCAGGGATTACAGGTGTGTGCCACCATGCCCAGCTATTATATGTGCTTCTTTATTAACCCATTAAATAACAATACCTACAGGCAGCACTAATTATGCTAATTTCCAAGCGGTGGCAGACGTGCACAGTATCGAGGACAGACCTCAGACCCTCACAGAAAGCAGCATATGCCGTTCACAGGCGAGCTCTGCTCACCCTCCCACGTACTCTCGATCACCTCCAACTGCCTGTATCTGATGTGGCGTAAATGCTACACAGAGTTGTTGGATGGCATTATGTAGGGAACAATGACAAGAAAGTCCAGAGTCAGGGAATCCACAGATCTGCAGGCCGCTGTGACATCACAGATGTCTGTGGTGACATCACACTAACAGTCCTGCGGTCTGTAGTCTACAATGGAACTGAGGACACTGCGTCATACTTGGCGCTTGGTAAAACTTAAGATGCAGCTGTTTTCCTTCCCAAGTTCCAAGAAACTTGAGCTGTGTCTGTGCTCTGTCGGAACAGAGAATGGGTGCTCACAAAAGGGTGCTCTGGCTGTCCGACAATCCCTGCACAGCCCATGCCACTGAGCTCTTAGCAACGACAGAACCCCACAGGTGCAGCTGGCAGAGGTGACAGAAGGAGACTCAGACAGCAGTGTGACCCAGGTGATGACTTACATGACATTGCCAGGTTAGTCCTCCAGTTCCTCCTGAGGATAGAAGCACATGCCACTGGCTAGTCTGTGAATCCCACTGTTCCTGTGAGCCATTTTCTGTTTGTGCAATCAGATTAAGACTAAAATGTAACACTTCCTAGAATTCCAAGAGGGATCTTCATCACCACCATCAGCCAACCCAACAAAAAAACGTAAACAAATCTGAGAAGTAAATGATTCCTCTCCAGCTCCACCACACGCAGTGAGTCTCCTCTTGAGGAAGGCGGGATCACAAGGGTGTACTTCCCTGAGTCCTCCGAGGCCTCTGGCTTCTTTCTCAGAATGTGCACAGGTCACTGCAGGAACGCTCTCCTAAGCCTCATTCTCAAATGAATGAACTGGGGACAAACTTGGAGCAGACTTTCGAGACCATTTACAGTTCAGCAACTCCTCTATCTCCATCCAGCTGCCCTGCCACAGCGACACCCACATATTTCCACTGCAATGCACCGACCTAGGAGGTCGGTGCTAAACACACCCCAGCCAAATTCTCAGTGCATCCTCTATGAACCAGCTGTGTGATGGCTGACATACCTCTGTAGGCCTCATTGGGTTTCTTAGCTTCCTGTTAGCAGTCATCACTGGCAACTGATAATAAGAAGAGATGTTTTTATTATGTAAGAACTAAAACAAAAATGGTTTCAAAGTACTGAGCAAAGTCTCAAACATTCATAAAATTACTTTCATTTGGGGATTACCATAAGGTTATAAATTTTCCCTTAGTAATGTTTACAGAGGGTCTTGGCCGAAATACTATTTTTCATTTAGTTTTAGTTGATTCTTTAAATAACAGATTTGCTCAGGACAAGGATTTTATCTTTCTTTGGAAGAAGCCAAGATGATCTCCATTTAAGGACACAGCAGCAGCGCTGCCGGCACACTGGTCACCCTGGCGGAGAGAGGCAGGCTGAGCTCACTGTGTCATGAGCCTCACGGAATAAGTCTCAAGCAGCTTCTCGTGGATGGAAGAAATTTAAAAACTGAGAGTTTGTATTACAGTGATTTAAGTAAATCTAATATATAAAAAAATTATATACCCAGAGCAGGAGAATGATGGCCAGCTTCTTCAAACGGTCCTCTCAGTTCCGGGGCACAAAGTTTAAGACAGAACATAGTTCTACCTAGAAAGTTCAAACTACCACTCACTTAGTAAAACGACAATGGAATAGAAGTTTTTAGGAAAGCAAATGCTGGAATAAACAAAGCACATCCTACAAGAAACACTGCATAACTTATATTTCAGCACACACAACCCTGGGTCATGCAAATACGATAAAGAATTTACGGCCATTTCTTTTTTTGCTAGAAAGTTGCCCTTGATACTGAGTCAGCTTATTAAAAGTCTGGTAGGATTTTATACCAATTTAATAAGGCTATTAAAAAATCTTAAATACTTAAATCTGTACATTGCTGTTTTTCTCCAGGCTACACATATCAGCTCACACACGGCAATTATTATTTGTAAATGTATTGTTAATAAAACTAAAGAAAAAATGAAATACTTTTCAGTTCTTTATAAGATAAAGCTTTTGTTAAACCAAAAGCAGTTATCAACCTGGTTTTCTCACACATATTTCTTACACATACACACAGATATGAGGTCTAAGAATAAAGTAAAACAGGAAGTATAAACTCTGATTTTTGTGGAAATATTTAATTTTTGTCTTGCAGCATTAGGAAACTGTAGGATCAAAACAACAGTAACAACTCAATAAAAACTGTTTCCCTAGCAGCTGCATTATTATGCTGTTAAAATTCCTGTTACAGTAACTGTCATAGCCTTCAACATCATCTCCAATAAAACACAATTATCTCTAAGTCTAAAGACACAAAAATCTTTAAGAAATGCTTTCTTCTGCCCAAGTTTTTTTTTTTTCTGCAATGTGTGTTTTGAAACTGAAAACAAAAAAGAAGCAGGAAGTGTTAATTACCTTTCCACACCTACAGAAAGATAAATGAAGCTCTCCCCTGGTGTGACGAGCCTATGGCTGGCCAATCACAGAGCCAGGCTCCAGGGCAACATCCTGAGACCTCCCTGAAACACTTTTCCCCTCCACTGCTGCAGCTGCCACAGAAGCCTGGACAGTCAGGAGCTCCAGCTGACCACACAGCGAGCGCTCCAGGCACCGGGCCACTGGACTGGGATCACCACACGGTGAAGGTAAGACACGGGCTGCACTGCAGTCTGACTTAGGTTTCTACAGCTCAGAATTCTCAGGGAACTTTTAAAAAGAGGTAGGCACGTTTCCTAAATTTAGTTTTGAAGTTAGATGATACAATGTCTGCCAAGATGAAACCATTTGTACATAAATACTTAGGCACCCAGTGGCTGTAAAAATGAGACGACTCTGAAAAGGGTCACAGTCGTCTCAGTCCTGGTTACTGGTCTGCTACTTTAAGTTTCATTTCTATTTTGCTTTTCAAATGTGAATTTCTGGCAATTAAAATAATCTTCCAAACACGTGACCATCTTTGGTGGTAGTGGGGGTGCAGTTACTTCCTCCGGCGTGGGGGCGGATGAGGTGTCTGAGGGGACGCGCTCACTGTAAGGGGCCTGGTCCCCAGTCATCACTGTGATACCTTCGTTATGTAGAATGTAAGTGACTTTTAAAATGTTCAGAAGATGTTTCCTCTCTAAAGTCTAGTCAATTTATAACAAACAGTTCTAAAATATCTTAATAAAATTTAATACTATGTCATATAGAACAAGTTTGAAATGTTAATAAACTTGTCACAAATACATATAGAAGTCGTAAGTTACAGAATAATAATTCAACATTTTAAAAATAAACTAATACTAATAAATATACTTTTGCCACATTACCATCCTACAGGGTGGAAAAAAGCCCAGGAGTGGATATGCCACAATAAATTTCATGACTTCAGTTTGAAATCCACTCTGTGTTACAATCCTCAATTTAATAAATGAAATGTCTCCTCATTTTTAAATCTCTCAGAGCAGAGAAAACTATATACACTTTACTTCATTTTCACAATACACATACACAAAAATAAATTTCCTCTAAATTTGCAGTCCTAGGACGAATGGAATTCACTGCTCCAAGAAACAGGACTCCGCAACCCCACAGCAGCTCTCCTCACAACATGCCAGGGGCATTTTGTCCCAGTCCACATAGCACTGGGGCTGAGGACCCTAACTCCCCTGTGGGCCTCCGCACTCAGGACTTATTTTCCTGAGAGACCACAGTCGCTCCTGCTTTCTGCTGCTTCTGGACTTCTGTTCAGATGCCCACAGTCAGGGCTCCCAGAGACTTCTCCCCAGGGCAGGCCGCCCATGGAGCATGACCAGGTCACACCCATGCTGCTCAATGTTCACAATGGCCAAACAAGCATGTCTCTAACTCACAGGGACGCACACTCAAGTTCTGTCTTTGTGCTAAAAGTGGTGTTGGATAAAATCAGATAGGAAAAATGGGAAAGACACATAAACTATGAAACACTAAGTTCTAACAGCAAGTAAAAGAACTAGAGTATTCGCTTCACTGAGAGTCACGCCGCCAGTATTGTGTCTAGGACTCACAGCAAAATTGCTTTCACAGGATTTAGAAGACATAAAAAACAATGCAGTTGGGTTATATAAGTATGTACTGTTATGTAATCTCACTGATTAGATAGAATATTTATGAAAAGTGTATTTAAAATGTACTGATTATGTCATGAAACTATACAATGTATTAAAGCTTTAACTGAAAAAGTAATGTGTAGATTACCTCTATAAATTAGATAGCGTCTTATCATCAACTCTGAAAGAGTCAGTTACAGCCCCGTCTTCCTTCTTGAGAATGACTTCTTAGTGCCCCCTGCACTCCAGCGCCTCACTGACCCTCTCCGGCCACTGCGCACACGTGTGTGCTGGGGCATCTGCTTCCAGCCCGGGACAGAGGGCAGCTGCTCAAGGTCAAGAGCTATGGGCGGGGGCCTGGCGGGCGCCCAGGCTCACGGCTCTGCTGTGCAGTGTGTCCTGCACGGCTGGGAAGTAAAGCAGGAGCTGAGAGCACCGAACAGGCCGGAGGCACGCAGTACTGCCAGCACTGCCGGAGGCAGATTTAGAGAATGTACGCTTCTACTGATTTAACGCTACTTGATTTCATTCACATTTAATTCGTACACCTAGCATTATTTCTTTAATAAATGATATTCTTACTGATCATTTTCTAAGCCAGGAATATAAGAAAGCTACAGATGTTCATACTTATGAGGCCGGGCATTCAGCTCAGTGGTGCCGTGCCTTCCTTGCAAGCTGAAGATCCCAAGTTCAATCCCAGGTACCAAAAACAAACAAACAAACAAAAAAATGAAGTTATTAAGCAATAATCCGGGTAGGAAAAGTTCAAAATAACCACAGAGGTTTTTTAAAATAACATGCCACAACTGAAAAAAGTTTTCTATTATTTAACTTGTTTTTTTGATAAAAATACATCTTCAAGCCATCTAGACTGGATATGTAAAATCCAGGTAATTTCTCCTCAAAACTTTCTATAAAAACCACACTTTGGGACTTGACTACACTCCCACAGTAAACCCAGCTTTCATCTCTGCCCCTCTGCCTACCACTTAAGTCCCCTGTTCAAATTGCCAGGAAAAGAAAGCATCTCTGCTCCTTTTGCTGTGACACACTCACTGCTTACTGCTGTCATCCAGAGCCAGGCTGGCCCTGAGAGGGTGCCTGGCGGAGGACAGCAACTCTGCAGGGCCAGATTCCGACAGCGCCTTCCAGGTCTGAGTCCCCAAACTGCGCCCCGACTCTCCTGTCATCTAATGGTCTCACTTGTCACACGCTGCTGAGGACGGCAGGCCCCTCTCAGCAAGTCAGTCTCCAGAAGACGGAACTCGCTTTTCATCTGTTTATACTCTATCTACATCCCCACTCAACTGGAGAAAAAACATTCTCACAGGCCACACTGCAAAAATAATTACAGAAACTTAAAAAAATAGGTTGTTGTGGACCTCCTGCTTCTCAGCAGTGAATTAACAATTTATATTCTCTACACACGAGGTGAAATGGTTTTTTTCTCTTATTTAAATCATGATGGCCTGTAACAGTTTAAACATCTGTAAACAAATGTATCTAACATATATTATTAAAAAAAGTGCCTTGCCTCAGATAAAATGGTATCTCTCTAGACATTTCCAGAAATAGCAGATCTACATCAAAACTCCAGAATTCCGAAGTCCACATTACCAGACCCAAACGCCAAAGTGCAGCCTGGCACTCGGCTCCTTCTGGCACACATACAGTCCCCTGAGGTCCCCTAGTGCTCATACTGAGTACTCCACTCAATGTCTCAAAAAAAAAATAGTGGCCTGATTCACATCGATGGGGATCAGCTTAATGACGGCATTCATTGTTTGTTTTTTGGTACCAGGGATTGAACTTGGAGCCTTGCCCTTGTGAGGCAGGCAGTGGAACCACTGGGCCAAATCCCCAGCCCTGGCATTCATTTTTAAGATTCCCCCAAACCCCTTTCCATATATTCTTCAAAAAGGAAATCTGCAGTCCCAACATCTATAGAGTTAAAACAGCATCTTAATGCAAATAAATGTTAAATCACTATTTCAACATGTAAAATAATGAACAGTAATGAAACCCACACCAAAAGCAACCACCACATGCCAATTTAGGAAGAAAAAACTGCTGTTTGTTTAAAGAATTCTCTTCAAGGCAGAGCTTTAGAGCTAGGCTCCATTATGGGGTCAATTTAGGAGTTAAGATAAATGGTGCTGGTTTCAGTCAGGGACGGTGGCACACACCTGTAATCCCAGCACTCTGGGAAGCTGAGGCAGGAAGATCACAAATTCAAACCCAGCCTGGACAACTTAGCAAGACCCTGTCTACAAAATTTTTAAAGGGCCAGGGATATAGCTGATGTGACAACCCTGGGCTCACTAGCTTCGGAAGCTTTTGTTCATAAAAATCTCTTATTCATCTGCACTGGTTTGAACGCACAGTGCTGCTTCCGCCGTGGCTCTCCCAGGGGCACAGACAGCGGGTTCTAAGCAGCTGTGCTGGCAGCCTGCCGCTCACAGCTCTGTCTCAGGCTCGCCTCTTGGGGTGGGGTGGGGGGACACAGGCTGAGATGGGTGCCCAGGTGTGCAGAGTTGAGAAAGAACTTGCAGCAGGGCAGCAGTGGTCACCCTACTCACAAGGATCCACCAACAAGTGTCAGGCATGTTATCTAAGGGCAGGGATTACAGAGCTTTTTAAACTCCACTTTTAAAATGTCTTATTTCAAAACTGAAATAGAAGTATTCTTTGTTTTGGTTTGGTTTTGTTTATTCAGACAGGGTCTCACTGGAACTCACAGCAATCCTCCTGCCTCAGCCTCCCAAGTGCTGTAATTATAGGTGTGTGCCACCATACCCAGCTGAAACAGAAATACTGATTGAAAACAAAATATTTCCAAATATTAATACCACTAAGCTGGACAGTTCGCTTTTCATCTGTAAATTCTCTATGATACAGGACTTTGTTTTGTTTAATTGTCAAGGCTCGACCCCAGGAGCAGCCACAGGCTGTGGAGCTGGAAAAGTAGGCAGGGGTAGCTGCTCCAGCCCCAGCACAGCTGTGTTGGCGGAACTGTCTGCGGGAGGCAAGAGGACAGTGCCTACCGAGCTGCCCAGCCTGCCAGTCTGCAGCACCAACAGCGAGTCTCGTTAAGCATTACCTACCGCTCCCAAAGCACCCGCTCGTGAAAAGGGTGACAAACAATTGGAACCTGTGTCTCATTTAACTACTCGGCTTCTCCCAACTAACTGGCTTCTGCTGTTGTTTTTCAGTTTAGAGAGGAAGGATCTTGCTATGTAGCTTGGGCCAGTCTTAACCTCAGCGTCATCCTCCCTGGCCTCCCTGCTAGGATTACAGGCCAGTGCAACGACCCTTAGCTATTTTAATCTAACAAGACTGAGGAATAATCTGTCGCTCACGTTTCTTTTCTGAGCTCTGCAGCTTTCAGTATACTGTTCACGGAAACCACAGCAAAAGCCCAAACAAGCTGTACCATAAACCGACTGCCAGTCGCACAGACAGCAAACCCACCCAGCACACAAAGGACGGCACTGCTGCATCCCCAGGCAGGACTCACACACACTGCACGCACACACGCACTCTGGTCACACACCGTCACTAACCCACCTGCCCTCTTGTTCCAGGCTGTGAGGAAGCACTTCCGGCCGGTGCCAGCCTGATCCTCTCCTCGCCAGCACTGCGGCCGCCCGGCTGGCCTCATGGAGAAAGTGCAGTACCTGACACGCTCCGCCATCCGGAGGGCCTCGACCATCGAGATGCCGCAGCAGGCGCGCCAGAACCTCCAGAACCTCTTCATCAACTTCTGCCTCATCCTCATCTGCCTGCTGCTCATCTGCATCATCGTCATGCTGCTCTGAGCCGCCCCCAAGGAGGGAGGAAGTGGCCGCTCCTCGCGCAGAGCTCCCAGCGAGGAGCGGCCCAGGTTAACAGGAGGTGGGAGCACAGACCCAGCTCGGCAAGCACAGCCAACCTTCGCTTCCTGGCGACCAGCGCGCTGTGAGGCGCCTGCCGACCGCTTCCCATGGCCTGCAGTATCTTCCCCAAGTTAACTTGGAGTCAGCACTGCTGCCCGGGTCACTTCCTGCACGCTGCCCGGCCTCCCTCTGGGGCTGACGTGTAACTACGAATGCACCGGCACGGTATCTTCATAGCTACTACCCAGGGTTCAGGGCTTCCCCGCGACAGTGGTGGCGAACCTCTGGCGCGCGTGCCACAGCGGGATGTTTGTATCACTAAAGCTCTGAAAGCTTCGCCACCACTGCAGGAGAGGAACAGGTCAAACACACGTCACTGCACAAAGCACCCGACCCGAGTGCTCCACCTGCTGGTTCTTCGGGGAGCCCTTGTCAGGAGCTCACTTTCCAAATCCCAAATTATATTTTTTTCCTGTACCAAAAGAATACTTTTTGAAGTTTTTCAAAATCAAATAGAGAAAGGAACATATTCTTATATAAATAAAATTTCGCTAATTTTTTCAAAGAACAGAATTTTAATACATGTAAGTTAATCATGACTCTGAGACACTGTCATCAGCAGATAAGAACTGGTAACTACCGTTTACCATAACGAACACTAACAGAACACAGCCACACCTCAATTTAAGGTTGTGGTGGATTTCCTAACTTGTCAGACTACACTGAAAAACTTTGATTTCAGAATGACTGTGCAGGTTGTTCTCTATTCCAACCTCAGAGCAACGAACAAAAAAAGATTTCAAATGACAGAAAAACAATTATTTCAAGATTAAAGAAATAAAATTTAAAGCTCCAAATATTCTTATATTACGTTTTAAAATGAACTTCTTGTCTGATTAGTTACCACAGATATTTATTTTTCTTAATCTACCAACCAGGTGTACAGACTTACTTTGTAGGCCACTCCACTTAGCTACATAATAGATCCAGCGATGCTACCCTGTAATTATGTTCTTGATGCATATGTTTTCAATCTGCCCTCAGATTGGGGGGGAACCAGGCATCAATGTCAGGACCTTGCACTTGCAAGGTGCAGCATCAGAGCTAAATCCCCAGCCCACTTCCCATCATTTTGGAAGCATCTCACAACTAATAAAGCAACAGAAGCAAAACCTGGTGTTGAAAACATACATTTACCCAGTTTATAAGTGAAGCTGATTCAAGTCTCACACAGTTTACACCTAGACTGCATCACGCAGCAGCTGTAGCATGAGCCCCATGTGTGGCCCACGACGCAGCCACCAAGGGGCACACGGTGAACATCAGCCACGGCTTCCAGACTCCACCGTGCTGACAAGAGCAATCTGGAACAGCGATGTGACCTGGGCTCCTCACCCTGGGCTGCCGGCTGCACAGCAGTAGGCGCTCCTGCCACAGGTCCTCCACCCCGCGGGAGGAGCCACAGGAGCGCAGGGGACGGGGCTCACACCGCCACAGCAGGGTACAGGGGTACAGGGTGGGGAGGCACATGCGGGAGCCCAACTGCCCAGGTCCTAGAGTCAGCTGTACAGACGCAGACAGTCAGGGAAGCAGCAGGCCTGACAAGCGCTATCTTTTCATTACATCAACTGCACACCGTGAAATGCGCAGTTAGTTTTTCCTAAGAAAATGGAAATGATGATTTGGTTTTTCACTCTACATTTGATAGAAAATTAAAATCTTATACTGTGAGAATTTAAGGACACTGTAACTCAGATTAAAATATACAAGAACCTATTTAAATAGAACTTACTCTATTGTGATGTATAAAGAGGAAGCAATAGGAAAAGCAATGTATTTAAAAAGTTTAAATACTAAATATTCAAATACTTTCTACCATGGAATGAATTCTAATCTTAATTTACAGGGCACTACAAGGGAATTAACTTTAAGTGTTTCATGTTGCCTTTTACAATTTAAAAATATGTATTTGCCAAATGCAAATAATCAGAATCACGTATACTAAAAACTGAGTTCATTGAGGTCCTGAACTCAGTGAAACTGCTCTGAAACAATGGCGGGAACCCATGGCAGCATGCCATGTTGTGCTGTTTGTATCACTGAAAGCTCTAGAAGGTTCGCCATCGCTGCTCTATAATATGCACAAGATTAACACTGACTATAAGATGTGCTGATTATGAACCGTTTCGATATGGTAGTGTGGGGATTGCTTTCCCCATGTAAAATATAACCAAGATTTCCCAGTACAAACACAAGAGGGCAGACCTACATAGAAGAATGAATTAGCTATGTCCTGGAAATAACTTATCCTCTGATTATTTTTGAGTCTTGTCAAAGTGGGACTATAATAAATCTCAAAAAAGATTTGCTCATATGCTCAGTAACTATACTATACAAAATACCTAGAAAATATGTCAAATTATATAGAAAAGGTGATAGATTGGAAATCAAGCACGTTACTAATTTTACTAGACCATGCATACAAAAATCAATTATATAGGCCGGGGATTCAGCTCAGTGGTTCTGCCGCCTCTCAAGTGCAAGGTCCCAAGTTCAATCCCCAGTACCAAAAAGAAATCAATTATATGCTTTTAAGGAACCTAATGAATATTTCATACATAGCACAGATGCTGCTACATACACAGATTATCTCAAACAGTAAAAATTTTTGAAGACAAAACAGGATGCAAATTCAAAGAATAAAAGCAAACTGTTTCTTTTCAGAGGACAAAACACATAAAACACTCCAAAGAGAAAATTCTTTTCCTATATTTCATGTTCACAAAAGCAAAGCCCCCCTCAGTTTTCCTGACGTTCTCTGGGTAAGACACTACTACCTCCATGAAAGAGGCCGACGTTCTGAGGTGGCGCCACCTTCCCTGGCCGCCCCTTTTAGACTCAGAGGCACAGCTTTCCACCTTCTCCTTTCCAATGGCTGCAGCCAAGGGAGGAGCACGAGGGTCAGAGGCCCACATCACTGTGGGAGACGCTTTGAGCTACAAGCTATACAAGTAGCAGCACCCACCCTCCTCCTCCAGGGGCGTCTGATGGGAAGCGCTCTTGCTCTCCTGGGTCAGACCTCTGCTCTTGGGCCTGGGCAGATGCAGAGAGAGCCCTTACTAGTGAGGCCCTGCAGGGGGAGCCCTCTCCCTACCCCAGCAGATGCAGAGTCCTCCCCTCTGGCCTCCAGAGTCAGGAGTCTGGGAGATCAAGGAACATTGAGCAAGACTGGCTGACAGATCCGTTGGAGCCAAGCTTCCTTCTCACAATGTGGGGTGGGGGTGAGGGTCAGAGGAGAGGAGGCACTCAGAGCTGCAGAGGTTCGCTATAATACTCTGGTGTTACTAGATCATAATTTTCAATTACATTCCTTTCTTAGATGCAAACGAACGGGGGTTCTTCCTGGTGAGAGTTCAGCAGCTGTGCTTGAGAACTGAAATCTACCAGATAGGATGGTCCATTAATTACTCTTCATTTGACTTTAAAAAGGCAATATTTTAGGGTCCTTTAAGACACAATCACAAGGACAGCTTTTAAAAGACAGCCTTGGAGCAGGACAGCCCGAGGAGGGAGTCGGATTTCTTCTGTGGTAGTCCTGGAAGGGAGCTGCAAGGCAGCAGCCCCTAGAAGCTGAACTGAAGTGGGGGGTGGGGGGAGCAGAGCACTTGGCCAGCAGTCAAGGCCCTGCAACACACACTCGCACACACAAATACACACATGCAACAACATGACAATGCAGTGATGATGCTGCAAGTCAAGCGCCTGGTTCTCTTTATCTGGCTTCACCCTTTCACTCCTATGTAAAGACACCACCCCAGTGAGACCACAGGTGCATATGAATGCTGTCCACTAGCAGCTTTCTCCCTCCACTCTGCAAGGGGAAGACATAAAAGTAAGGTTTTTTCCCACAGTGCACCTCCTACCTTCTTTCTCTCCAGCACTGCTAAAGAAAGTAAATTAATGTTCATTCCTTTAAATTCACCCAATTTCCTGCTGCCTGTCATTATACCCATTTTGCTCCCCAAAAGCTCCGCTGCTGTGCAAAGACACCAAAGGAGAAACCTCTGCCTGATCTCTGCACCCGAATAACACAAGCATTCAGAAAATTACAACAGTATTTGAAACATCAACCTTCCTGTCTTCCAATTCCATGAACTGACAGATCACAAATCCGGCTGAAGCAACACTTTTGGGATCTGCGGCTCGGACCTCATGACATTTCTATGCGGTTACACGGTCTAGTCAAGACCACCAGAGCTACACCCACGCTGAGAGAAACGAAGGCATGCGAGACGAAGTAAGGGTTCCTCCTGGAAACGTAGCCCACGAGGTTGCATGTGTCCCAGGGCTGTGCTCAGATGTATAAGCTTCCTGTGCATGTTCTCTTTATTCTTCAAGTTTTATTCTGTGGAAATTATGCCTATTTTCATAGAATTAATGTTTCAGAAAACTTTGGCAATAAAAAATAGATAGGATTTATATCAGGAATTTGTTTTCCCAGGAAAAATGAGTGGTGGAAATTTATCTTGAAAGAGGAATACTTCCAAGTCAAGAAATTCACATATTGATATTTCCCCCGGGCTCATTAAGGGATATACACTATCTTTAACACTCCGTTACTATAAAGTGTTTTCCTTACGCCAATGAACAAAATCTTGACCTTTCTAAAAAAATAACTGTATCTGATTGTACACACCAGCTGTCGCCAAGACCAACACTCTACTAATGACTTTGGTTCCACCTTATTATTTTAAAGAGGAAGAAACTGAGGCCCACAGACACCAAGTGACAGGCTACGAATCATCCGGGTTCCCTATCAGAGCAAAGCAAAACCCAGGACCGAGCACCTAGTCTGACTACGTTCCTTCCATTACTCTGCGAGAAGCTCTGTTTCTGCTTAGTCTCTTTACTCCTCCCTCTGTTATGTTTATGTCTATGTAACAAGTAGGAAAGAAAGGAAAGACCAGGTAGAGGATTAAGTTTCAGGTCAGTCAGTGTCACACTGCGGCCTTCGCGCAGGGTGGGGGAAGAGAGGGAAGCCGGTGCGCCTCACCTGCAGGGGGGCCTCCCCGAGCTGTGCCGGCCAGGGCAGGCCGCAGGCATCCTCTGCAGTCTGGCCTTCCAGAGGGTTGGCGCGCAGCTGCTCTGTGAGCCACATCTGAGTGCGCACAGAGGGCTGGATGGGGGCTCCGCCCACCGCCCTGCGGCCAAGCTCTAGGTACCGGGGAGCCTGGGGCCCTGGGCCGGCCTCGGCGGGCCTGCTCTCAGATAAGGCACTGTGTGTGGCATCCAGGAGCTGCCCCTCTCTGCGGTTGTCCTGAGGCCTGCAGCTCTCGAACTTGTACTTGCAGTCCAGGGCCGACGTCCGCCGGCCACCACCGCTCTGCTTGTCCTCTGGCCTGCACGCCTCGGAGCCATCATGCAGGCAGCGGGGCCTCCCAGCCCTCCACTGTAACGCCTTCTCCAGGCCGGCCCCGCACTCTTCCGCGGGCACGGTGCCAGCCCGGCCGCAGCCCTCGGGGGCAGTGAGTCTGGAGAGAGACGACCACTTCCGGAGGGGCCGGTCGCCCTTCATGTCCAGACAAGAGTCCCGCTCTCGGCCACCGAGGTCGCCCAGTGCCTGCAGGAGGCTGGAGCTCCATCGCGCGTCCCTGTGCCTGGAGCTGGACGGCATCACATGGGCGGTGGGCAGGGTGACGAGGGAGCGGCTGGGCTTGAAGGATAAGGCGCCACTGGACGTGGAGTGATCTGCAGAGAGAACAGACCGCCAGTCAGTCACTGTGCAACGCCACAGGAGTCTGCACCAGGCTGCAGGGCCTCCTCAGAAGCAAGCAAACGTGCTTTCACATATTACTTCTAAATATACTTACACAGGAGGTACCTTGAGGGCTAAAACGACTGGGAAACATGTCTGATTTGTCCTACTTAAAGCATTGTGCCTTGAAAAGAAAAGCAGCCATCCCCCCATGGGGAGGGCTCATTATAATCAGGCACCCCTCAGAAATGTTACTTTTAAGTGTCTCTCTATACTGTGGAAGGAAGTCTGGGCCAAATCTGAAGACTCGACACCCCGAGACCCTATGAACACAAGATAAAATGACCAAAAGCGTTCTGGGAATTCATCTGCCGAGACAGAGTGGTTCCCAAGGCCTCCCACCTCAGCGGCACCCCAGGGACACACACCCTAGCCTGGGACCCTCATGCTCCTCACCGCCTCTCTGCACTCGCTAAGTCCCCCAAGCTGTGCACGTTCACCTCCCTGATACCTTGGAGTGGCCCTGCCCCACAAGCTGTTCACAGGCTCCTGGCAGGAGCCCCAGGGAAGCCCGGAAGTTAAAGAGCCCCTACACTCAACTCTCACCAAGTGCTAAGTGTGCGGGCCAAAGTTGGACAACTGGGACTGCTGGAGCTGGAGGAGGGTAGGGTGAGAGGCAGCTTTTACACTGTCCCTATCTTCTCAAAAATATTGACTATTAAGCCAGGATATATTTCAAGGTCACTTGTGTGCCCTGATATTGTTTCAAAGAAATAAAGTTCATGGAGAAGAGACACTGGTAATGTCTAAGTGTTCAGAAGGGTCAGAACCGAGTAGACTAATTTAAAAATGAAACTTCAGTGGTCTCTGCACAAAATGCTTACCTGGTGATGAGCAGGGAGCCCACAGATGGAGAGGTGTGAACAAACTGTCACAGTAAACAGCTCCCAGCTGCAAGACTCCTATCAGGGTCTGAGCCATTCTACGATTAGGAAAACGCTCACATTATGAGTCCAAACTCCCAAATGAATGTCAGACCTAGCATCCCCAACACACCCCACAAACCCCCACAGACATCTAGGAGCACCCGGTGCGTGAGGAAGTGGGCTCCATGTGGTGCTGCCATCCCCCACTGGAACAGGCACCAGCAGAGCCATCCGCTTCCCACAAAGGTGGCTGCGGAGCCAGGGGTCCAGAGCAGTGACGGTGCGCCTTTCAGAGCTCTCAATGACACGAACAACCCGCTGCGACACATTGCCACAGGTTCCCACCACTGCTCTAGACCCTGAGCGCAGCAGGGGACAGCTCGAGGGTCTTCCCCCAGAGTTGGGGGACAGGAAAGTGACTTGGGAAGCTTAAATAAAACCCAGTGCTCACTCCTCCCGGAAGTGCTGTGAAGATCAACGCCCTGAACACACTGTTCACCGGCTGGCGGACAACAGTGAACCATGCCGGACATGGCCAGGACGAGGTGGCACCAAAGGAAGAAAATATGCGCAAGATTCCGTTCCGCTGTGTGAGCTGACAGTCCCGTAGGTTGCTCTTTCTGACAGGTGGAGGTGAAGCAGAAACACGCAAGTCTTCATACGCTCTGTTCTGCTCTGCTGAGGAAGGAGCCCCGCTATCACTGCTGGGTAGTTTCTAGGGGAGAGAGGGAGCAACCCAGGGGTGCCTTCGGTGCTCTTACACCAAAACAACAGAGCCAGCTGGGTAACCACACAAGAAAACATGGGATATGCTCCTGAGGCTGGCTCCAAACTGAAAAAGACAAATGTCCTGAAAGTTGACGGACTGCCCACATTAATACAGTAATTTTAGATATATATTTATTATTAAGGGAATATTTTTATTAAGATCATAGCCTCTTAAAAACATCTTTACATTTTAAAAAAACAGATCTAAGACCCAAACATACATGAACAGCAATGTGTATTCCCTAACATGTTCATAGAAGTATTTAAAGCTGCTTAATACCCTACCATGTGGGAACATAGAACCCTGTATCCTTTGGAAGAAGAGGGGAAGTTTGCATATGTCAGTATTTAATGTATGAATACATACAAGTGACCTATTTGTGGATACAAATACACATACACCATGCACAGAGCAATGTTCTGGAAGAACACACCTGAAACTTAGTAAAAGAAGTAACTCCTGCGCAGTGGAAAGATGGCAAAAGGAGAAAGGGGTTTTGCACATTTTACTTTACACAATGTCTTACTTTAACTTCAGGTAACGTAATTCTGCCATTTCTTCTGCGAAGGTTGGTTTTGTGATTTTCAGAGTCACTCCTCCAGGGGCAATGTTGCTAAAGGGATGGCGGAGCCTCAGGTGAGGTCAGAAGCCCCAGGTCTGCCCAGGTCTGCTGCCGCTGAGATCGGAAGACGCCCTGTGCCCTGCTCCTTCAGCAGCCCCTGCAGCCCTCGCTGCATAGAAAGCCGCTGCTGCAGGCAGCACAGAGAGTCCCAGGCATGCATGGCTGCTTGCTCCGGAACACTGAGAGCAGCTGAGAGAACCGACACCCAGGAGCTCCGCAGGAGGAATCCTCCAAGCTCTGCATCAAGAAGACGTCAGGACGCACCAGACTCCACTGCGCCGTGCACCGTAACGCCCTGCACCAGGGCCTGCTCTCAGTTCTGAACCCCAAGCTCAACCACAGCCGGCACCTGACTGAGTGTGACTCTCAGAAAGCCTGTCAAAGCCAGGATCTGCACACGCACACACAGATACACGCACACAGACCCGAATAAACAGATTAAATGGTGCACAGATGAACGTCTGGAGAAGGGGAACCATTATGCTAGACATTATCAATCATTTGTTCATGTTAACAATTTTACATTTCAAAAATGTTATTTTACCCAAGGAAACGGTTAACTGGGGACAAGCGTAATGCAGTTTTTTAAAGTGCTCTAAGCGACCTCACTGTAGCCACAAATTCTGAAGGAAGCCACACGATGACACCCAGCCTCCACCTAAGTGGACACAGAAAGCAGCAGAGCACCCTTCTGGGGACCAAGACAGGGTCTGCAGCCTTCGCAGGGAGAGCAGTGCACGGTTCAGGCAGACGGAAGCACGTGAGAGCAGAAACAAGAAGAGGGTATCACTGTAGCTTGACACACAAGCGACTGTTTTTAAGATAATGTATTTCTGAATTCCCAAAAAGTCCAGCTTCACTTCACCCTTACACAGAGGGATGACAGCCCCTCCCTCCCTCTTTCTCCTCCTCCTCTTTCTCCTTCCCTCTGCTGCGCTATCCTTCCCATAGTAAAAAAATTGTTTTAAATTAAAAAAAAATCACACCCTCTTCTCTCCCAGATTTATAATAAACTGCAAATCTTTAGTTAAAAAAATTCAGGAAACTATATCACCATTTTTCAAAACATTCAAATTTAAAATGTACCATCTTAATATATTAGTCAATATAAAATTGTCTGACAATATTTCACTTTTAAGTATAACTAAATTTCATGTGACCCCATGACACTTTTTCCTTGCCTTCAAATGCCATAGCTATAGCATATCATCTGGCAAAAACTAACACCACATGGAACCCCCTCCTCTGTTAACTAATATTTCTAAGTATTTCCTACATTTTATATAAATGTTTTAAATATTCTAAATCAAACTGGCAGGAAAGGAGCCATATAAAATAATTCAACAATAATTCAACTAAAGAATCTCTGAAGACTGTATTAAACACAAAACTGCCAACATAAAAGACAACACAAGTACATTATTTGTAATAAAAAGCTTCCAGTTTCACTGTCACACAGCTGCAGAACGAGATTAAAGCTTATCATAAAGAAACTGCAAAACAACAGACAATGAGACGTGTGGCGGAGAGGGTGCAGATGCTCATAACCCAGCGCCGAGCAGCCGTGTGCCCAGGGCACAGGGACAGCGTCTCCGAGGGGCTGGGAGTCCGGCCTGACACCCACAGTCCTTTCTCCCCGAAAACCTTTCCAGACTGAGGGCAAAATACACACTGGGCTACGCAGAAACAGAGCTTATTAACAGACTTGCTGAGAACTGCTAAAAGTTCCTTCTCTCTAAAATAACAAAAATAGCAATAACTGCAAAAATAATAAAAAAAAGATCTATTTGTGGGACAGAGAACCGACTTAGCTGGCCACTAACACACGTGCCTCCCCGCCGAGGCAGTGGGCATCACTACACTGCTCGAAGGCTCCTGCCTCCCGTGAGCCAGCCAAGTGCAAACTGGACTCCACGCCAACAGCCAGACACAACAGCAGGACGCGACCACTGCCCCGGTGACCCTGAGCTAATCCAAGTGAACCATGGAGGAAATACAGAATCTCAACTGTAACATTCTCGGAAGAAACTACAGGTATCTATTTCAGAACTTTGAGTCAGGCTATAGTTTATTAAATACCAAAAGACTAAACAACCCAAGAAAATACAGCTAAGTTGGACTTCATTAAAATTTAAAATTTTTGGGCCAGGATTTAGCTCAGTGGTTCTACCACCTGCCTTCTAAGCTGAAGGACCCGAGTTTGATTCCTGGTACCACAATAAATAAATAAATAAATTTTTGCTGCAAATGATACTTCATCAAACAAAAAGAGCCTGCAAAATGGGAGAAAAATTTTTGCAAATCATGAATTTGATAGGAACGTTTATCTAATTATATAAGAACTCTTATAACTCAGTAAAAATACAAAGGACCCAATTTAAAAGACACAGAATTGGAATAATTCTCCAAAGAAGATACACAAGTGGACTGCTCAAAGCACATGAAAAGATCCTCAGTATCATCTGCTACCAAGGAAACACAACTGAAAACCACACTGAGAAACCACTTCACACCCACCAGGATGGGCAGAACCAGGTGGCAGAGAAGCCAGTGGCACACAGGGCAGTGCCTTTGCCTCTGCACACAGGCACCTCAAGTTCAACATCTCACACGGCCTGCGGTCTCCCTAGGGGAAAAGGAAACGTGTCCACATGAGGGTCTACAAGAACATGAACAGACACATGAGCCTGAAGAGCCAGGATGAAACAATCCACATTTCCTTCAACTGATGGGGATAAGTGTGTCAGCCACACAGGTACTAACGATCGGAGTAAAAGGAAGGAGTACTGACACACACGACAAGGCACTCAGCACACCCTGTTATGAGCAACGCATGTAACAGAATCCCACCACGTGAGAAGTCCAGAATAAAGACATCTGTAGGAACGGGGTGCAGGGGCCGCCAGAGCTGGGTGGGCTGTGTGAGCGCGGGGGAGCTCATGGGTTTCCGCTGAGGGAGATGAACGCACTCTAACAAAGATGCTGCACTACCTTCTAGAAACATTAAACTATCAACTTTAAATGGGCAAACTGCATGGTACAGGAAATATATCTGAATAACACCACTTTCTACAGGAAATAGTATGAGGAGAAGTCAACCAGAGGAAGTTAAGAAAAAAACTAAGATAACGGAAAATGCACCAAACTGTACACATTATCACACTATGTGAAAATCCACCTGAAAGACAAGCGTTAGCCAATTATTTTTTAATCCAGGTAAACGTTTATAAGAGACACAGCTAAAATATGAAGTCCTACTGTGGCACTATGATATCTGCCTGGAGTCAGGACACCTGCAAAAAACACACTAATCCAGAAATAACAGACAGAACATCATGAGGTGCACCCGGGGTCAGGGTGTGGAATGCGTTCTGTCTTCAACTGCTCACTTTACTCTTCATACCCTTCATGGGAGTGAAGTGCATTCGTTTCACTACAGCTAAAGATATGGCCAATTCTTTTAATGAATCTGTGAATTACAGCAACAATAACAGCAATTCTGTACAAACTTTAGTTTGTACATCATAATTCTCAACATCATATCAATTCTTTTAATGAATCTGTGAATTACAGCAACAATAACAGCAATTCTGTACAAACTTTAGTTCTTGTTTTTATCACATCATAATTCTCAACCATCTCGGGAAGCCACTTCAAATCCTATTAAGACAGAAAAATGACTTGTTTAACATAATTATAAAAATTTACCCTTCACAAATGAGACAGTTCTCAGACTATTATTGAATACTGTCTCTTAATAACTGTTCACAACAATCTAAGAGACTTTTCTTTATAAGCTTATACAGAGCAAGACCAACAGCTCCGTTTGGCCTAGCCCCTCCAAAGTGGCAATTCTAATCTCCAACCAGGTTACTGGCAATTTAAAGAATGTGAGGTGAGGCTTGAAAAGATCACCAGTTCAAAGAAAAACTCATTTCAAAAGCCGGTCAGGAAAAAAAAAAACAAAACTGGTTTTTATATTTATACAAAATGTGTGTTTTTTTTCTGGCTTCCTTCCCAACTGCATTCATGTGCCTACGGTCCGCAGCCCCCTCCAGTTCCCACGCAAGGTGACATCTATAGGGACAGCTGGCTGACAAAGAGTCATAAATACTTCTTTCCTACAAAATATTTTATAAGTCAAACTAAAACCCGACCTCTTAAATTATGAATGTGTCCTTAGAAACAGAACTACTACTTTCTGACAAAACAAACAAGACTTTATCTTTGGTGCACGAGGAGCAAAAATCCTCAAGATACTGGCAAACAAAATGCAACAAATCATCAAAAAGATCATGCATCATGACCAAGTAGGCTTCATCCCAAGGATACAAGGAAGGTTCAACATGTGCAAATCAGTAAGTGTGTTACATGACATAAACAGAGTCAAAGAAAATAATCTCATGATCTTCTGAATAGACACAGGAAAAGCCTTTGGTAAAATTCAATATCCTTTCATGATAAAAATCCTGAAGAAAATAGACATAGAAGGACCTTGT